CCACCTTTCTGGTTCTTTTGATCACCAAAAAGTCAGGACAGAGCTGGACACCCAGGAAGACCTCAGCATACATATAGGGACTCATAGCTGCCAGACCTGAGATACTCCAATAGTAGTTTTGGATGTGACGGTAGGTACAACTGTCATTTCAGCAGCATCTCAGCCACTGTATAAGAAACAGTTTCTGGGTTCTGCTGTTACCTTTTCCTGTCGTTAGAGACATACCAAAATGTGCCTAGTTGTAATTGCTAAGGTAATCACAAAGAATATATTGTTACATGCTGTTCCATGTCCTTTGTTCTCCTTACAGAAAGTAGTCTATGTACACCAGGACACAGGTGAGAGGTCAGGGGTACGTTGCAGATGCTAATACACAGTGACAATGCACCATTGAGAGGATGGATGCCATGGCACAGCATGTCAGTCTTCCTGTTCACTCGTGTAGTCTAGGAAGTTGGAGATGGAGACCATGATTGTCATGTACTCTAACAAACTTGCTGGGGGACCAGTCTAAACAGGAATAGGGCTGGTGTCTCATGCATAGGACCAGACAGTCCTGAGAACAACTAATACACACAGCTCTATGTCCTTACCAAATATGGACCTCCATCATGTGAAGACACTGGAAGTCAAACCATTGCTTGCACCTCATTGAAAAGAGGGCTTGGCAGTCGACACATGATGCTGGCAGAAGAATACTCAGGAGTAGTATCTGGTAGATACTGAATGTCTGTGTTATGTGTGCATAACCTGTATTGGTGTGTTTTTGCAACTAGCGATTCCTGGTAAGACAGACCTTTTGGTAACCTGGAGTTGGATATAGACTTTTTTCTCCTGTTAACTCACAAGTACCATCTTAAGTTGAGTAATGCACCTTCTTCCCAGAACATTATAAATGTAATTTAGGATGTACTATTAAGTGATTTCATTGTTTTATTAAACTTGAATTTGACATTTTTCTTCACCATACATTTGTCACCTTGTGGGAGAAAAAGTGTATTCATTTATGCTTGAGTTTCTTAAAAGTGAATCATTTATTACAGTATCTTGTTTGTCAGTACCTACTTGACAACTTTAACAATTGTGTGGAAAACAGAGACATTTCTGGTGAAGGTTGACATGCATATGAAAGAACTCAGTAACTAAAATTTGAAAAGTAAAGGAGTTTTATTTTGTGGGGTGTGGTGCCCCACTTGCAACCATATCCAGTCAGCTAACTCATGTGTAATAGATTATATATAGATTACAGTATTAATGGTTGGTGTCTAGGCCATGACCTATATATAAAATGTTACTTATACAAGAGGCAGCATCTAAACTTACTTTCACAATTGCAGCTGCAGTTTGTTTTCAGAGACACACGGAAAAGGCAAAGCCTATCTTTAAAGAAGCAGCAACTTGATGCGACAAGAAACAGTATAGACAGTATAAGATGTAGGAACGGCTATAACCTGAGTGCTAATGGTGAATTCAAGGCCACTGCTCCTGACACACCTAGAGAGGTGATACCAGGCTCACTTGGATCACAGGTTGCAGGCTGCAGCACTGTCCTCTTGAATCCACCTCGCTCTTGTCTTGCTCCTCATCTATTGCTGATGATGAGCTTGCTTCATCCCTTTGATGTTCACTTACCGATGTATGCATTTAACATTCTCTTATACAATCAGCATCAAAGGTACACACCCACGCACGGGCCTGGCACGCAGCAACATGCATGCATGCACAAAGAGATCCACATACACAGTCTCACTCTCTTGAAAATGCACAGAGATGCACACACTCATACATCACACAGAGGGGCAGGGATATTAAGAATTTAGCACAGTGTGACACTTTCACGGTCTAATTAGCCCCAGTGTTGCAGTAAACACGTCCCAATGACCCTCCAGTTCTGGTTACTCATTAAGTATAGATGGGGCTGAAAATGGCCAGAAACTTAGGGACGAGCATCCACATTCAACCAGCATCATCTCTAAACAGAAACCAAACAAGGAAACCCTTTCCTTTGCTGTTACATACGCGTGTATGTGCATGTTGGGAAGGAGCATGCTGCATCATTTTTGACTGTACTCATACATACACAAGGTTGCACGCACAGATTTACAGGAGTGCATAAAGCAGATTAAAGGAGCAGTCTACAGAGATGCTGCATGGCGTGTAGAGATACAGGCAGCCCTGTTGCTTGTTTGCTGCTGCTGCTGCGTTTGACGCGGTGATGGGGATTTTCCTCTTTCTCTCTCTCTCTCTTCTGTTGCGGTAGCAGACGTGGCAGCGAGCTGTGATCAAACTTTGTGCCTTCATGCCCTCCTCTTTCTCTCCTCTCCTCTCTCTCTCTCTCTCTCCCCCATCAGCTGGAGGGCTTCAGCAGCAGGGTGCCCCAGATTCACAGACCACCTCCCCCCCTCCCAACTAGTGCAGAGGCTGCTTCTTCTGCACTGTGGAGCACTACTGACACCTTCTGGACAGAAACGTGGTAGTGCAATGGGGATGTGCGAGCAGGGCCTATTTGATGGTTTGATTGGTGGATTTTAAGATACATTCTCTTTCATGAAATTCACAGTGTTCACCTAGTGTGACCGTGGGGTAAAATATAGCCAAGAATATTTATGGAAAACTCCAGTTTGGGTTATAAAGCTTTACCTAAAGGGGAAATTTAACACATTAGCCTTGATGAATTGATTCATTTGAATTTCTGGCTACACAGTCGCATCTGATCAATATTCCCAATAGATCGATCAATGGTTGCCGTGGTTCTGCATGAGGTGTCTGCAGAGGCCCGAGGCCAGGCGGATGGACGGTGAGGGGCAGAGGGGGTACAAAATGGTACATCAGCGTCGATCCTGAATCAATACCAGTATGTGGTGTTAATCTAGTGAGTGTCCCTCTGGCAGTAGTGACTGAAAGGTTGAACAGCACAGCAGACCAAAAAGCCATTATCAAATAGGACTAGCTCAGCATGTTTCTTCCAAATAAGCCACTTTTCTTTTTTTTTGTCACCAAGGAGTGAAGCCAGGGTTCAGCGAACCTCAGGGGTGACTTTGGGTTGAGCACTGTCAGGGACTTTCTCCCTTTGTACACTGGAGTATTATATAAGATTGTATCTAGCCTTTTTTGTGCATGCTAGGCCAAATCCAATAGGATACTTAAGTTCTATGCAAAGCTCTGATATTTTTATCCAAAGCTCTTAAGTTCAAAAAAAGGAAATTAGCTTGAGTCAAGCTGAGGAGTGCAGGTTGATACTATAATCACCTAAATGCACGGGCACTACTTTTTTTTTTTTCTGGAAAGGCAGACAGAAAGCACAGCAGAAACACCGTTCCACTCAAGTTAACATTCTCTGCTCTTATTTACATATAAACAACGGTATATGTGCAGGTTTGACTCTCTTCAAATGATACAAACAAAATCTTTAATCAGATGTACATGCATTGGCACAATGGGACAGGTTCTCTTTTTTTTTTTTTTACCTCTAATGCAGAAAGGAACCAAAATTCATAAAAAAAAAGTTAAAAACAAAACAGAAATTAAAAACATAACTTCTAAAGTTCTACTCAGTGAATGCCACATCAGGCTTCACAGACACTTTATGTTCATGATATAATGTTGCATCACCTCTCCTTACAATACTATTGGCAGGTAATACTTTGAAGTATGTATGCAATGTTTAAAAGAACCGTAAATACAAGACACAGCAACATCCCCTCCATTGTATCAAGCGTCATATACAAAAACAAAGAAGGTTCGATTGGACGGATTGTACACACACAGAAATACTCCTTTAACCTTGCTTTCTCATTGTACTGTTAATACGTCAACGTTGAGGAACATTTTTACTGACAGCAAGGAGGAAGACAAAAGAGAATAAGGAAAGAGAAGTGACAGTTGAGAGGGGGGGACACAGGGAAGAAGAGAGGACAGGGAACAGGAGATATTTTTGATTTTTTAGAGGTGTGACATTTACACTGCAGGACTTAATAACCAATCCTTTCAGCTATTATATTCATAGCACACACACAACATGGGCCGAATAAAGACAAAAAAAAAAACTGGAAAATGGCACGATGAATTACAAAAATCGGAGGCAACGTGGGCCTGGATCCTGCCTTCAATGATAAGTAGTAGGCACTGTCAGACGCATGGCAACATGACAGGAGACAGAGGGAAGAGTCACAGTGAAGGAAACACAAAACATACACTCATCTCTATATACAGGGCACCTCCGATTACTGTACGCTTTAAACACAGTTAAATGTTTTGCTTAGTGCATGGGGTTGGACTTGGTTTGAACTTAAAATATCGCTGTGAATATTACACTAAAACATCAAGACATCAAGAAATCATTTAGTACAGTGGCTCCCCATGTGGGTTTCAACAAAACCCTGGGGTTTTCATGGGGAATAGTTTCATCTCATTATGTTCATAATATTATCATTTACTCAAAATTGATTAATCAGTCTGCATTTTCATATTGACACTTGTGCAATTGCTTTTACTAAATCAAACATTATCTTAAATGGGCTCCCAGGGGACCCTAATACAGAATTATTAGGCTCTATGGAGCATGAAATCTTAAATCTAACGGGTGCATCTGGAGAGGCAAATCAAACTCACTGGTGACGGCATCCTCACCTGGATCAGGGTTTCTCACTCGCTCGTTCACTGACCCGCTTCAGTCCTCTGGGTGCTAACACAGTACAGAGTAAGGCTTCACTGCATTGATATTCACACTTTGGGAGGTTTTTTTTTTTATTTTTTTACCCCCATCAGCCTAGGCATCGTCTTAGAAAGGCACGGCGACTGAGCTCTGCGGTTCACAGTTCGCTACTGCTCCGGTTCTTTGCCCTTCTGTATTTTTTAGCAGCACTTTGCATTGTCTCGTTTCCAGAGAATATGACACTTTGTGACCTTGTCAATAATATCAACATACATACATATTTACAGAGAAGATCGTCTCCTTAGACTCGAAGCGTCAGTTGATATTTGTTTGTTTTAAGGACAGTTTCTTTTTTGTTACTTACACGCAGAGGGAGTAAAGTGAGGTGTGTGTGTGTGTGACTGTACATATGGCAAGAATGTAGAAAGATACCACACGGAAAGGAGACAAATAGAAACACAGCAGAGATGATAGTCTTTGCCTGTATGTGTGTGTGTGTTTCACTGTGTTTTTACGAGTGCTTGATAGTGTATTTGCCTTTCTGCAGCTGGGAGATGTACAGCTTTGACTTGGTGCCATCCAGCCGTTTGAACCACACCTCATCGTTGTTGACGGTGGTGATGATGGCACTGCGTGACACAAACATACAGCAATGTTATCGCACAATCAATTCGTGTTCCTCAGAAAGAACATAGAGGGTGTGCACGTAACAATCACTGTCATGGTCACTCCACCTTGAGAGGCAAACAGTCAGCAGCCATCAAGTATTTACGTGGGAAGATTAACGAGGAAAACTCTTGCTTAAGTGGTAAAGAGATACTGTTTTCACAGACAGCCAAAGGCTACAGGGAAGAGAAGGGCTGTGTAACATTAACTAATGACGCGTGATTGAAACATGTAATGAAATCTTTTACAAACAGGATCACAGACATCCTGAATATCATTAGAAGCTTGTGAATGTGATTAGGTTGCCAAATATGACCAGGGGCAAGGAGGCTCGATGTGTAAACAATGAAAAACATGAATATGCCACTTCTTATGCACAAACTGCGATCAAAACCGGACCTCACACCGTGCACACACACGTATTCTACAGCATTAAGAGGGTGACTGGATAAGGTGGAGATGAAAAACACAGTGAGACACAGAAACTGAAAACAAAACATTAATTCTTTAGACAAATTATTCTAACAGCCACGGATTGTGTAATACTGTTTTCAAGTATACACAGCGTTCTGTAAAAAGCATGTATATGTTTTGTGTGATCAACAGCAACTATTTCCCTGTGTGTAGGTCATTTAATTCTATTTTAAACAGTGTAGCTCTTGGTGGTTGAGATATTACTTCTCAATTACTACTACAGGTACATGAAATAAATGACTGAAATGGGTGGTGTAAACAGCCACATGTTTTTTTTATGCACAAATGTCACGTGTACATCAGGGCTGACTGTGGGAGTGGAAATGAGGCTGGTGCATGTGATGGAGATTTATAAAAACAGAAGCATATGTGTTCCATAAATCTGACAATAACAGTTCTGTCTTTGTGACATAGACTGTGCATACTGTGTGGGGGCGCTGTGAAATAATCAGACAATAACTCGATTTCTTAGATTCACTTTCTCACTACCGCCGCCCTCTAGCGCTCGCATTCCCACCCTGGCCTCAAATGAACGGGAGGCCCGGTTGTGTTTGCATTCAGTTAGGTTGAGATCTTGTGGCGGAAACTTCATGTCTGGCTACATTTTATTGTCCACCGCCTGTCTGGTACTGATTCGTAGCAGCCGCCTGTGTGCATCTGCGTTCCCACTCTCGGCGCTGCGCTGTGAGAAACTGACTGATCAATGCATGCCCTCTATTCACTGAGCAGCCTGTCCTGACAACACACAGGGCAGGGTGCACAAAGAATCACAATCATTCAGCCAAATACTCACATAATCCCTTTGATTAAAATCCATCTATGATCAAATACATACTCAGTCACAGACTCACACAATGTGCCAGTACACATTCATCATTTAGAGCAATAACTCATACATGCTATAACCAGAATCATCACTCCCTCTCATGATCACACACACACACACACCTCGTCGGGTACTCGTCCTTCCTGTTGATGCAGATGGCCTGCCCCCTGCAGTACCACTGGTTGTCATAGAAAAGCCGACCGTCCTCGGAGCGGGCCACATGGTGATGTCTGTCGGGCTTGACTGCAGGAACTGGAGGAAGAGAGAGTGAAGACGACATCAGTTGTCGAGAAGTGAGGCAGGGACGGTGCAAGTTTGAAAGGAAAAGAGAGGGACAAAGACGGATGAGGAGAGGAACATTTGTGTCCTTTTCAACTATGAACTTGAGCACTTTTAGCTGAAAGTATTGAGTCAACCCCTCCTGTGTGAGTGCGGGTCGATGGCTGCACTCAGCCAGGTATTGACTGTAACCGAGGATGAGCAGAAACTCTTACCATCCACCTTCACCCTGTGTGGCCCCAGTGATGCCATCGCCTGTGGGAGGAGGGGGTGGGGGGTGGGGGG